CCCCCCCCCCCCACCCACTCTGCCCTTCTCGCCTGCTGTGCTCACTCTTTCTGTCTCTAAATAAAATGCAAATTATTAAAGTATATAGATACATATACACACCAAGGGGGCACCTGGGTGGCTCAGTCAGTTGAACGTCTGACTTCAGCTCAGATCATGATCTCATGGTTTGGGAGTTCCAGCCTCACGTTGACTGTCTGTTGACAGTGTGTACCCCACTTCAGATCCTCTCTCTCCCCCTCTCTCTGCACCTTCTCTGTTCGTGCTCACTCTCTCTCAGAAATAAATAAAAATATTTTTAAAAAATATTTAGTTTTGTACATGCTCAGTGATAAGTGACACACACAAAAAAACAAAGAAATAAAAATAATGCCAAATCCTACTACTTAAAAGATAACCACTATTAACATTTTGGTGTGTATCTTTCTAAGCAGTGTGCGTTCCTCTGTGCCTACTCATACATATACATATGTAAGTAGATATGTGTGGGTAATTTTATGAAATTGAATCATCTTATACCTGATGTTTTGTGACCTGCTATTTTCAATCTAACATAGATGCTGTGGATATCATTCTAGGTCAGTAAATCTAGATCTGTACCATTATTTTCAGTAATTGCATAGTGTTCCTTTATATACTTTGCATACATATACATTTGCATATGTACATAAATCATAGTTTATTAACCAATCACCTACTGATAGGCATTTAGTTTGCCTCTAGCACCTAATTGTTAAAAAAAATTTCTGGAAAAAAAAATTTCTGGCGAGCGTTTTCTTTCCCAACATGGTGTGGTGATCTCTTTATGGTAAATTCCTGCAAATGGAATTGCATCTGTTGTTTGCAGTTGTCACTGAGGTTAAGAAGTTCAAAGACAAGAATAATTAAAATGTAGGGGCGCCTGGATGGCTCAGTCAGTTGAGCGACCGACTTCGGCTCAGGTCATGATCTCACAGCTCATGAGTTCGAGCCCCGCGTCGGGCTCTGTGCTGACAGCTCAGAGCCTGGAACCTGCTTCAGATTCTGTGTCTCCCTCTCTCTCTGCCCCTAACCCACTTGCATTCCATCTCTGTCTCTCTCAAAAATAAATAAACGTTAAAAAAATTTAAAAAAAAAAAAGAATAATTAAAATGTAAATAAATGTGTTTTGTATGTTTGTACATAAGAATTTGTTAATTTGTAATTTGCTCACGAAAGCACTTTTATCTTGGCAAGCAAGATGGGCATTATAAAAACTACTTCATTATCAGTTCAGATTCTGCCAAAGGTATGTTTTTATATAGCTTTACAACTACAGATACTGTTATTATTTTTTTTATTTAAGTAATCTCTCCCTACCCCGAGACCAAGGGGTAACATGTTCCTCTGAGCCAGGCAGGTGCCCCAGATACTGAATTATTAATTTTTCCTCAAATCATGTAAAACTGAAACCATAAGAATGATGGTTGGTTTTGTAGCTGTCAGTGCCTGTTTAGAAGTAGACAGACTTCTTCTAGCAGTCTTAGAGGAGAATACCAGGGAGAGAGTTACTGCTTATCATTTAAGTAGGATTTGAAAAACCTCCCAAGTGGAGCTTTTCGAGTGCCATACTATAGCCTGTCAGAATTTTAAGAAAAAGTACTAAAAGTGTGGTTTGTATCATTGTTTTTATCTGGTTCTTTACTGCCCCCTCTTGGTGTTGAAAAATGCTCTATTGCAGAAAACACTGGTTACTAGGGCAGAGGGAAATAAAATAAAGCCTGATCACTGGAGACTGTTAAACATTGTGTAGGATTTTATGTTTTAAAGAGTGTTAATTCTGCTATCCTTTTGGAATACTAATTTGATAATGTTCAACTCTTAAAATTCATAGAGCAATATTTTTATAATGAAATGTTTTCCTGTATCTTTGGGCTGGCAAACACATTATTGCAGGGGATTACTGCGAAATTCTGTTTCTTTTTTTTTTTTTTTTTTTTTTTTTTAAGGTTTATTTATTTTGAGAGAGAGAGAGTACAAGCGAGGGAAGGGCAGAGAGAACAAGAGAGAGAGAGAATCCCAAGCAGGTTTCGTGCTGTCAGCACGGAGCCTGATACTGGGCTTGATCCCACAAACCGTAAGATCCTGACCTGAGCCAAAATCAGGAGTCAGATGTTTAACCGACTGAGCCACCCAGGTGCCCCAGAAAAATCCTGTTTCAACAACATAAGTCTTAGTTTTGTACATCCAATGTAGTTGTTTTAATCATAGACAAAAATACACTGAACAAACCAGTTACACAGTAGAACATAGATAGCAAATTTTTTTTAAAGGTTTTTTTTTTCTTTTTTTTTTTTTTTCAGAGAGCAGGGAAGGGACAGAGGAGGGAGAGAATCCCAAGCAGGCACAGAGCCTGATATGGGTGGGGCCTATTCTCATAAATGGTGAGATCATGACTTGAGCCAAAATCAAGCCAGTCGCCCAACCAACTGGGCCACCCAGGTGCCCCCAGATAGCAAATTTTTATATGAAAACATTTTTATCCTAAGTAATATAATAAATAAAAATTGAAGCAAATTTATTATATTCTTTATTGAAGAAATAAGGTGTTTTCAAATGATGTCCAATGATAAGGTTTTATGAGAGAAGCACATTCATAGGTTTCTGAGAATATTGTAAAATAAATGTTCATACATTTCGGAGAATATCTTACGAGAGAAGTACGTTCATACACTTCTAAGAAAATTGCTACGCTTTGGCAAAAGGACTTGTAGTTAATGATACGACCTTCCATATTTTTTGACTTATACCTCTAGTCCTAGGAATTTGTCCGTGGAGCTCCTGGGTGGCTCTGTCGGTTAAGCATCCAATTCTTGATTTCAGCTCAGGTAATGATCTTGTGGTTCGTGGGTTCGAGCCCCACACCAAGCTCTGTGCTGACATTAGGGAGCCTACTTGAGATTCTCTCTCTCCCACACTCTCTCTGCCCTTCCCTTGTTCGCTCTAAATACATACATACATACATCTCAGAAATTAGATAAAAATGACAAATTTTGTTTCTTCTTTTATAGTGATCACATTATATCTTTTATGACAACAGGTAATCAAGAATAGCAAGACAGAAATCCCAGAGCTAGAGTTATTTCCTCGATATCTTCTCTTCCTAAGACAGCAGCCTGCCACTCGGACACAGCAGTCTAACATCTGGGTGAATATGGGTATGATGAGCCTGAGAATGTTTCCTCAGCATTTACCAAGAGGTAACTTAAGAATGCAGCAAGAATACCATGCATTTGTTGAAACAAACAAACAAACAAACAAAACCCAAGTTGCTCGAAGTCTGGTGCCACTGTACTAATACACATTCCCATCTGCTTTCATTCAGAATCAGTAAATCATCAGTGGGGCTTAGATCTATGGTCATGCGCAAGACTAGATGGGGTAGTGGCAAAATCTCAGCAGCAAACTGAGAAGAGTTGTTTCTTTTTCTGGCTAGTCAACATAGAAAGAAAATAAATAGAAATATATTTCATATACTTTTTTTCTTTGAAAACCATCCATTGTAAATTATTTCCTTGACCTAAGGTAAAATCTGTCAGTCTGGACTGACTGACTAATCTTTTCACCTCCACTCAAATATCTGAAAGTAATTTCTTTTGCAATATCATATTTTTGTTTGTTGGTTGGTGTTTTGGGGGACTTTTTTGAGAAAACATGATACATTTCTCATGCTTGGCCCACAGAGCCTTTATAAGAAGACAGATAATATATATAAAATGAAGGATATATTTTTGAAAACTAAAATGATACATTGGCTTTGAAAAACATCAAGCCTATCAAAATGACATAAAAGTTCCCATTTTGATGTATTACATACAAAAAGTTCCCCCTTGATTTCTCTGTTATGTTAAATTTTATTGACAGGCAGGACTTGCCTTGTGCTTTTACTTTGCAAATATTTGACATTGTTCTTCAGCAGAAGTAATGAGTTCATCCATTTACACAAAATCTCAGACTTTGTGTTAATAATGCCACAATGTTATTATAATTAATATAACTTAGTATGTAAGAACCCAAACCAACTCTATAATCACTATCATCCCTCCCTTGAAATTAAATAGAATTAGTTTTATGCCTTTCTTAAAGGTTATATTCAAATTATATATGGAGATTCTTACACATATTGTTTGGTAAGAATTATAGCAAAGCATTGGCTTCTACCTAACCAAATTTTGTTTTTGGGGAAAATGTCAAAATCAAGGAACAGTGAAATAGAATCACTGTGAAACATTCTTGATTTAATTTTCCATTGAATAAAAGTATTTATTTGCCTTGCTTCCATGGCACCCTAGCATATATTTTTTTCAATTCTCTTTGAAAGATAACATGAGAGGAAAAATGTGTTGTTGTGCTTTTAGTAAGTATTCTTTGTAACTCTTGTGCTGATCCTAGATTTTTGCTGCTTCTGTAAATTCCACTAGATTTGTTGGTGCTATTCAAAAACACAAAAGTATGTGTAATAAGTGGCTGCCTGCTTAATGAGCTATGCTATAAAAACTGTCTAGAATTCAAATAAATTTCTTATGTGGCTTAAGACCATAGAAATTGACTTGGACACTACACTTGCAAATGCTTTTGAATCCTAGAACTGGGTAGTTATTGCTCTAAATTTATTCTTAATTTGAAATTTTTATTCCTTACTAATTAGTTCTGAAATCAATCATTAATCATTTTGAAGTTTGTAAAAAAGATGCTTTCTTGCTGTAATCTTATAACTAATCCTCTGATGTATAATTGGAGAAATTTGCTCTATTACTTTCTGTTAGGAATTATTCTTTGCTCACTGATGATTGTAAAAGATTTGCTATGCTGTGTGTTTAAAATTGATCATGGTTGGGTTTTGTTCTGCTGTAACATAGTTTTCATCTTTCTTCTTACTCAGTGTATTAAGGGTTATTTACTAGGCTCTTTTACTCCTTTTGAAGTGATAAATGTACAAACCATGTTTAAAGCCTTCAATGTAGCCTTTTTGACAGAGAAAGCTACAGAGGCCTTTGTTTCTTATATGATTTTTCAACCTATTGTAGGTGAGTGAATTCTTTTTGGAAGTTCTTTAAAAAGTGAATGATACCAATACTTTTCTCTGCTTTGTTTACTAGATGAAGACTTACATGCATTTAATAAGGGGAAAAAAGCTAAGTCTCCATTGAATGGGTAGAAAATTGCCTGGCATGTATACTTGTACCCTAGGTGGATTATATTGATATGCTAAGGGTTTTTTTGTTTTGTTTTGGGTTGTTCAGTAAACTATAACATGCTATATAGCTAGAGAGGACCATTTTAAGCTACAACTCTTGCCTGGGTTTTTGGCTGAAAAATTAACCAGGGTTTAGTAGATTGTTTTAGCAAACGATTTTTGACTTCCATAATCCCTTGTCATTTCATCCACCTTCTCTTTTGAAGTATGTGGTTAAACTTGATATATTCTTTCTTTACTTTTCACTCTTTTCCCTTGCTGCCATTGTTTTTGTTTCTTGAGCCCTCTAGGAATTAAAGATCATGTCTGCTATCTTCTTACTGGGCAGGCAGGCCATACGGTTTTCCTCCTACCTTTTCAGCAGGGCGATTTTT